CAGATAACTAATACAATAATACTAAATTTAAAATATGATTAAAATGAAATATTCATTATTGGCCATTTCTTTTTAAAATTATTTTAAAACCAAATTAAAATACCCCTTAGGCCAGTCCGGCTAGTTTAAATAGCCATGTCTTGAGGGCGCGGCGGAAGGAGGGGAGATCCGGAATCACCCGGATCTCTGGGGGTAGTTCATTCCAGTCACATAGCTGTATATCAGCTTTTAGCATCAATGTCAGAAAGATTGTAAGATACAGAGAGCAGAATACCAAACAACAATCCATCATTTGATTTATTTCCCTGAAATTGTGGACCCATGAGAAATTCAGCACCTAGAAGGGGTTTCCCAAACAGACAATAAAAAACAAATGTAATGAACTGAGAGGGTGAGAGGCAAAATATTTCAATGGCCAACTTAAGAACTTGGGGATCTGATGTAGGATATAACAAGGTGAAGAGCCAAGCATTGTAGGATCAGTTGAGAAGGAAAAAAAGAAGACCTCACTTTACCAAAGAAGTCATTCATACTTAATTCATTTCTTGCCTCACTCCAATATGTGCAGTGCTGCAACTTACCAATGCAATATAATGGTAAAGGTGCTGGACTGGAACCACTGTGATTCAGGCTTATTTTATCATGGCATTCAGTGGGTAACTCTATGCCAGTCCAGATCTCTCAACCCAATCTCTCATGAAGGGTTGTTGAGGGGATAAAATGAAGGGAGATCCCTAAGTATGTTACCTAAGTATGTTGTCTAATAGCTAAACGATCTAGATATCTGGCCATAGGCTTAGCCATTCTAGTAAATGCCCATATATAATTTAATTTTATTCATAATTTTACTCATCATTCATATTGTGCTTTTTAAAAATATTTAACTGTTCTGTTTTTATATTTTGAAACACAATTTATATGCTGTTTTTTAAATTTTCTGCATTAATGCTGTGTTCTGTTACACATATGAAATAAATACAGTAGTGGCCAAAATTGTGGAAACCTTTTGGGAAAAGTGTACAGTAGAAATGCCACCTTTGGTTAAGTTTCCACAAATTTTTCTTCTAATTTCTTTATAACTGTAGCCTTGTTCACTTGATAGTACTATTTTACATCGCTTTCTGGGCAACCAGTCAACTCTTTGCACCATTACATTAATTTTATTACGTTTTACAAGCTCACTAAATGAAAAAACACAAAAAAACCTAACCAACGACACACTGACAAATGTCCTTTTCTTAGCTTCAATACATGACATCAATTACTGAATCCTACTGTGATCTGATTGGCTCATTACCAAAACAAGATGACACCTGATTGGCTCTCTAAACACTCATGCTCATTGGCTACAATCAGATGAAGGAAAGCCCCTGATATCAACCTAAGCAAGTTGTGCTTCCTTTTTCTGGTTATTTGGCTATAACATTTTATAGAACACAGTACAAATAAGTGAACAAACTTTGTTGCATTACATTCTTGATTAAATTATCTTTCCATTGATATATAATTTTATGGTACTACTCCCCAAAAAAGTGGTGTTATTAGCCATCAAACCTCAAAAATACACTTTTCCCAAAAGATTTCCACAATTTTGGCCACTACTGTAAATAAAAAGTATGCTACCATGAGCAACCAAAAGAAGTATGAGATATAATTCTAGTATAGCAATAGCAATAGGATGCAGTGATTAGGGCTCTGCAAATCCTTTGAACCAGATCTTCCAGAACATACAGGTTTTGCATCCAAAGCTTTCACAACAGTTGTGTAAGCTTGGAAAAAGACAGATTGCTTTAACAATACAAAAAAGTCATGTATTCCAAAGAACTTATTTCAAAGAATTTGCACAGCCCTAGAACTGGTGCTTGATCAAGCAAGTATAATCCATATTAATGAGATACATCACATCTTCTGTGTAATTAATAAACAATAAAATGTGGAAAATTAGGTGTACAAAATAGCAGTTATGAAGGATCCTAACAATTTTTGACTTTGGTTTAACATATTTATTTATTTATACAGGTAGTCTTCGAAGTTACAACAGCACTGAAAAAAGTGACTTATGACTGTTTTTCATACTGACAACCATTGCAGCATCCCCATTGTCATGTGATCAAAACTGGCAACTGACTCATATTTATGATGGTTGCAGTGTCCCAGAGTCATGTGATCACCTTTTGTGATCTTCTTTTTTTTGTAATATATTTTATTGATTTTTTAAAACATAAATCACTTAATAATTGGTGAACAATGTGTTGTCTGGGTTTACATTTGTTAAACAATCACTAACAATTGATTTCTATAATCCATAATCCATATAATGGTTTTAGTTGATTTCCTCTTTTCCCCAAAATGTCCTCTTTTGCAAACATTAAGTTAATACAATTCTTATTGTTTTGATAACAATTAAATATATAATTTTTTCCAATATTCCTAAAAATAATAATCACATCAATATAATATTTCTTTTCTATCCAATCATTTTTATTGCCTTATCATAGATTCTGTTACAGTCCTTATTTAAAAAAAAATTATTCCACAAAATTCAAAGTATTCTTACTGGTAAAGATTTTTTCAAAAATTAATTACATTTGTTGGAGATGTGGACATCCAGATGCAACTTTTTTTCATATGTGGTGGACTTGTAGGGTTATCAAGGCTTTTTGGATACAACTGTGGTGGAACTTACAGCAAATTTTTAAAAAAAGGATTATATTTCTCCCACAGTTGTTCCTTTTAGGTATTGTGCAAGACCTAGACGTAAAAGAAACAAATCTGATGCTTTATTGTTTAACTGCTGCTCGTTTGTTGATAGCCCAGAATTGGAAGAGTCCAATTTTGCCTACAATGGGAGACTGGAGATTGAAAGTTTCCTATCTTGCTGAAATGGCAAAGATTTCGGCTTTTTTGAAGAGCCACTCGAATGAACAATTTTT